TTCTCAGCTGTGCCAGAGGAAATTATCCATGAAAAATGTTTTGACCCTCCATAATTGCTGCTTCCTGCATGTTTCTCATCTCTTTGACACCAAACCCATGTGCTTGCTAAAGTGATGTCTGTGAGAGATGAGCTTAGACACACACACAAACATACACTTGTTCTATATGCAAACATCCACCCAAATTTCTTCATTTATGCAGATGTAAGGGACACATACTCTATAAGACACAGACAGACACAGGCAATGGTTGATTATACTGCAGAAAGTGGACAAAATAACATGAACCACACCAATGCAAGTGCTGTGCAGTAAAGTAACATGGCTCTTTTTCTTAGATCCTCTAAAATAGACAGTTGATAAATATCTTTTTTTTTTTTAATTAAATAGTTATCAAAAGTCCTATACATACACACGCATGTGTGAAAATCAGGTTCCTGTTAGTGAGTACAGTATATCGATCAGTTTATTTTTTATTCATATGTACTTTAATTATTTTTTAAGTCTATGTTGTCATGGCTTTGATTGATGACTGAGCTGCAAAGGAAACAGAAAAATGTGTAAGGTTTCACCATGTATATGTGAATTCATTGGACTTGGTGTCGCACCATAAAGGATTTCCAATATAAGCCAATATAAAGGAAACAACAACTGTTGCTTCATTTCTTTTTGCTTATGAAGACATATAGGAGAAAACAGATGTGCAAATACAATCTCTCTCATCATTCATGCTGATACAATGCAGGCATGTCACTGAATGTGTGGATACATTGCTCTCTCTAACAAAAGTACTCCTTCATACCTTTTCACAAACACTAGTATATATATAGTCATAGATGCATGTTCTCAGTCAAAAACACTTTCACATGAAACAGAGCCTCATATGCTGCTAACAACAGGCCAGCCTAATACATAAGGACATTCTCAGTTGGGATGAACGTCAGCACTTATCCAACCTTAAACTACGACAAATGACCTCTCCCCTCCCTCTACTTCTGTTCCCTTTTCCCATTCATCCATCTATCTGTCCATCCACTGCCTCTCCTCTGCCCTCCTTGTTGCATGCAACCTGGTATCCATCCATTTCTTTCTCACCCTTTCCATCCACCTTCCTCTCACCTTTCACCTCCATTCTATTGATTTTCCTCACTCCACCCCTCCTCGTAATCCATCATCTCTACCTACTGATTGCATCTCTTCTTTCCAATCTCCTAATCAGCATCCTCTCACTTCCTTCTTGTCTTGCTATTCATCCCTCTTCTTCCTCCATCATTACTCTGTTTTCTTCTCCGCTCTCTCCTCTGTTCCCTTTGCCTTGTTTTTCCAGTGCTATGGAAGAGACACCAGTAATTTTATTTTCCCACATAAACATGCACGCAGCCATCGTTCCTCATTCCACCATCCCAATGCCATGTCCAAGTTCATTTCAGGGTTTTGCTGGTTATGGCAAGCAGGCTGTTGAAATTAGATCTGGGTTATGTTGCCAACTGTGACTGAGTCCCTGCTCCTGTAAGGCTATAACTGAGCACTGGCAGCTTTTATTGGAGAGCCAAAGGGAAGATGACAGGTGTGCACCAGGGACCTGTTAAAGGCATACCTTGACATTTAGACAGGTAGTGTGGTATTTTCCTTTGTCTGGCACATGGGGAGAGAAGTGCACATATTTTGTTTTTTGCTACATCTTAAAGTGTCTTTTTGTCATTGTTGTGATGTCTCATTAAAACCAACAGGCATGGCAGGCTAATGAGATGGCTTCACTCTGTAGCTTTAAAGAGGCTCTCTATTCTATGTGTGGAAACAAGACTTTCTTAAAAATAGATAATGCATTTTATCTACACAAGAAGGCACCTTGTTTGTGTTGTAACAGTTCCAATGCCATACTAATGATCTCAACT